AGATGTATATTTGGTGAAGAGTTTAGAAAGAAAGTTAGGGAGAGAGAAGGAAGAGAACCTATTGTACATGACCTTGCAAACGAAAGTTTGCAAAATGTCATAAAAACTTACTTTGCAGACAATGAACTGAGAAGGGATGAATATTTAAGAAAACTCAAATGGACAGTACCAAATGAAATGTTAGTATTGAAAAACATGTTCCTTGACAAAATAAAACCAACTACAGAAATAAATGACGCAAGACTGAAAGATTGGGTAAAAGCTTTCCCATTCACAAAAGATATAATTGGTAACATGGAAAGAAAACCAGAATGGCTACAAAAACATATATTTGGAAACGAGCTTATTCCATATGGACAAGCTCTGTTTGAAGAGCTTGAACCGGAAACTCAGGAAAGAGTCATGCAAACAATACGCGAAGACTCAAATACAGACTATGACAAAATCTTTCTAGGATATAGGTTACCTGAGATGGGCGACCAGAGCCCAAAGGCAAAAAGGACATGGGAAATTTACAACATACTAGGTGAACATGAGGCAAAGATGCAACAACTTAAAGCAGAGGGCAATGAAGGAAAAAGAAGAGTTAAAAACTCAGTCAGGAAGAAAGTAAAGCTTGGTCCACGTGGGTTCTATTATGACATATAAATCCAACTATTCTATATTTTTACACATATGAAATGTACGCCGCTCAGAATATAACGCCAACAGTTTTGGATGCCATGAATGGAAATGTTTCCGAATGGTATAACGAATGCGACAATGCCATTAGAAGGTCAGAAATAGTTCCTGGAACTTACGAATATACAACTGCTGTTTCTTATGGAAACGTAGGTGAGTTTGGAGAAGGTTCTTCAACAACAGTAGATATTGCTTGCGACAGGTTTCATATAATTTCTATTGACAACTCATTCTTATACGTGGAACAAGACATTGAAATAAAACCTTCTGCCAAGTTGTCTGACAAGAAAGGTTGCAATGGAATTTTCTATGTCGGATACCAATATGCTCCAGAAGTTTTTATGGGATATAAGATATATTCTAACTCTGACTTAGTTCAAACAGTAACATGGGCAAACTACGAATGGTTCGCTTTGAGAAACTCAGTACAACCACAAGCTAGAGAACAAACAGACCAGTACGCAACCATTGAGAAAATAAGAAGACTTGACCCTAACGTTCCAGGAGTTTATGTTAACCTTTCTGGACAAACTGCAGCAGCAGTAACCAAAGTAAAACTGAAACTTAGAGTTCCTTTGTCATCTTTCCTCATCTTCAGGTTTTTAAGATACTTGCCAAACTGGGCAGGAAAAATTTCTATCGAACTTACTCCAAGCAAAATAACTTAGTCATTGCACCAACACAAGACCCATTCACTATTACAGACGTAAAGGGAACAAATCAAACGTCATTCGCCGAATTTTGCAAAGACAAAGTTGACTTAGACTTTGGTTTCTCAAACTTCAACAATGAAGTAAACTATTATTTCAATGCTGCTGGAACTGCTTGGGACCCAGTTAAGTTCACATGCGAAAAGTTTGAATGCAAGAGAATAGAAAGCAGACTTGCAGTCTATATGTTGGACCCAGATATTTCAAATGCTTTAGCTGCCAAATATATTGCAGTTCCACTTATGTTCCCTATACACCAAATATCTGTCAAAGACTTTGCAGGTGAAGTTGGAAACCAAAGTGCTGACCCAGGTGCAAGAACAGATATTGCCTTAACAACTGCAATGAAACATGCAGATACTATGTTTGTACTGTTCAGACGAACTATAAATGACTATTCTTGCTTCTACAACCCTGGTATTAAATATCATATAAACATAGATGGCAAATACTATCCAAGAGAAGAATATTCTACAGTTGAGGATATGAGGTCATACAACTTGACATTAGATGCTATGAACTTTAACAACAACTTCACAACAACCATTAACCCTGAAATGCAAAGTTCTATTATGCCATATGTGAAAGTATGGACTCATACAGGAGGTCAAAACACTCAATATACAAATGGAGACCGTTCAAACTTTTGGCTTGGCATTCCATTTGCTGACTCAGAAGACTTTATGGGTGGTATTTCAACTGTTGGTACAGTTCAAATACAATATACTGGTGACAGAGACGGTCCAGATGAATTGAGAGCAAAGAAGTTTACAAAACCAATAGCACTTTTCACGGAAGATGCTCTTTTGAAGATTCGTTCGATGAAACCTGCTGGGGCTCCTCAGATTGGCATAACGACAGCTTCCATCGAGCAGATTTTGGCAGCAGGTCAGTAAGTTGTTCTTGAACTGACTTCTCTCCGTCAAATATTGACAGTACGCCAGTTTTGACATAAAATTGTATTATAAACTTTCCTTTAGAAATATCTGTAAGTTTTGAAGTTATATTTTTGTCTGCTTCAAGAACTTTCACCATTTCGGTTATACCAACTTTCTTTGCTTTATGAAAATATTTTGGTTCAGCAAAGACTGCTATTCTATAACATTTACCATTGTTTGTATAAAGAACTATTCTGTCAATGTATTTGTATTGTTTGTGTGTGTAAACTTTGTTCTGCTTCAATTCGAAGAGATACTCAAATACGTCCATCTTTTTATTCTAAGTAAAATGTCATTTCCGAAAAATAGAAGCGTGAGTGTTTCAAAAGGTTTAATGGCGGTGGCAGATGTGAAGTTAAATTCACCAACTCAAACAAACAGTCAAAGTGTTGTTGTCAATGTCAAAGAAAGAGATGTTGAAGTGGGGAAACCATACGAAGACCAAGATGGTATAACAATAGTTCCTGTAAAAGAACAACCAACATATCCTGAAGTTAGCAGAGACTTAAGTTCTGTTGCAGATATTCGAAACGACTACCAACAACTGAAAGACAAACTTCAAACTCAGGAGAAGATTTGTCAAGCTTTAGGTATAATGTTAAACTTGGTCGAACACAACCCTGTAAAAGTGAACTCATATGTCATTGCACCTCATGAAGTTTTGAAAGAACTATTGAAACTTTTGACAGAGGCAGACGATATAAACATCAAAGAAATAGAACCCGACATTAGTTGCTGTGGTGTTTCATATAATGTCATTGACAAGATATACGTTATGAAAGGAGGTGAAACGTTGAACTTAAAATATAGTTTCCCAGACGTCATAAAAATATTTGACGACCACAAATTTCATTAAAATTTAGTTGCTAAGTAAATGGCAGAAGACATAGTGGTTTATATACTATTACGACTAAAAACCCTGAGTCATATAATTCTATAACAACAAAACTTACAAAGTCCTCAAGGACGATATTGTAAACTAACCTTAAACACAATGACGACTAAAGCCTGTTTTGCTCTTTTGACACCAGAAGACTTTGTTGTTGTGAATGGTAAAAAATACTTCTTTGAAGATACTTACTCAGAATATAACCACCAACAGGTTTTGTTGACTTATTTAATACTTTAAGTACGGGTGTAACATGTGCTGCAACTAGAGCAGGTTTCATTATGTTTGGATGTCCGACTGAGTTTACTATAAACGATATGAGCTATAATACAAAACTTATTTCTGGTTTTTACTACCAACAGTTTCCTATAACAGGAAAAGGTGTCATACAAGGAATGTCTATTCCATTGACATTAAGCACACCAATCTTATATATTGTTTCAAACTTAGGTTCAAAGTGTTATTCGAATGTCGACAGAAACTATTATGACCAAAAGATACTTATGCGTATAAAACAATACTTTCTCTGCTGGTTTGCCTATTGTTCATTCGAATGCAGAATTTTCAACCTTAGTGAACTCAAACACTTTGGCAAGTATAACGTTGACATTAGTTGACGCAAACTTGTTCCTGTAAAACTTTTATGTCCTATGTATTTGTCAATGACGGCAGAAAGTTTCGAATTGGAAGATGCAACCGGTGAAAAGTATTGTATTACAAGAACAACTTCAACAACAAATAGCTCAAGAACAACAAATGCAACAAATGGAACAACAAAGTCAAGAATAAAAAAAATATTTTTTTTTATTTTTATAAAAATGTACAGAATAGATGTTTCAGATTTTTATGACTTCCAAGCATTCAGAAATATGTGTCCATTTCGAGACTATAACAAAGCAGTCGAGAATTTGAAACGTTTAGTCATTTATGTTGACTCTGCCCCAGAATGTTATGTTATGAAAGAATGGGATGTTGTCTTTAACAAACCAAGAGCAACAATAGTTTCAGAACAAGAATGTAGACAGAAACTTAAGAAAATAAAAGTTGTACAAGTTGGAATGAAGATGTTAGATGCTTGGGATATCTTATTGTCAAAGTTAGAAGATTTTTCAGTTCGAGGTATAAAGTTTATATACACCTTCTCCAAACTTCTATTCTATCTTCACTGGATATAAATACGAACAAGTAGAATGGAAAGAAAATATTATAGAAGCTTGGTTAGACCATGTCAAAGAAATTATATGCAATGGAAACGAAAGAGTCTATGAGTATATCTTATGTTGGTTTGCAAATATCTTACAACATCCAAGTGCTAAAAATGAAACTGCTCTCATTATAATTGGAAAACAAGGAACTGGTAAGAACACATTCTTTACAGATATCTTATGCAAACTGTTAGAGGGCTATTCGAACCCGAATATGACAAACTTAGAAAACATCTGTGGCAAGTTTAACTCTTCTATTGAGAATATGAAACTTATAGTATGTAACGAACTTCAAAGTATAGATACAACAAAAGTTTTGAACTCAGATGCTTTGAAGAGTCTTATAACAGACAAAGTTGGAGTTGTTGAAAGAAAATATAAAGACCAAAGAGTTTGTGAAAATGTTGCAAACTTCGTCATGGTTTCAAACAATGTTGTTCCGATGAAGTTAGAAAGTTCTGACAGAAGATATGTAGTTGTCAGAACGTCAGATTCTCATATGCAAGATACAGAATATTTTGACGACTTAGCAGAAACTTTGACATCTGACTTTTACAACCACTTGTTCTCATATTTCATGACATTAGATATTTCTAAGTTCAATCCAAGACAAATTCCACATACCGAAGAAAGACAAACATTGTTAGAAGCAAACAAGAGTGTATATGAACTGTTCATAGATGAAACTGACTTTGTGTCATTAGATGAAAGGTCATTGTACGATTCGTATAAACAATATTGTCAAGAATATGGTTATATGGCAGCGTCTAAACGTACATTCTTGGCAAATGTCAAAAGTCTTTTAGATGTTCAGAACGGCGTATATACAAAGAAAAATTTTTATGAGTAAATTTTAAAAAAATATTTTTTTATCCGATAGAAAAGATGACGAAATTCATCTCAGTAAATAAGTACATGACAGAAGTCAAAGAAGAACTAGACCCATTCGCTTATTTGAATGTTTACTTCTACCATTTTGAAAAGTCTTCATTCAGCAAAGTTTGGAACATCGAACCAGTTAAGTTTGCTATTGTGACTAAAAATGGTGCGAAATTTGAAGACTTAGACATAGAAGGTTTGTTAACAGTCAAAGAAAATTTTGACAGAAGGTTCTCAAACCTTAAAGAAGGCAAAGCATACAAACTTGTTATACCTTATGAACCAAAGAAGACAGACGACTATGAATATTATGAGTCTAAGATAGTTGAAGTTCAAGGTAAATTGGGTAAAAAGATTTTAGAGTCTAAGCCAGTGTTTGCTCCTAAAGAGGAAGAGAACATTGACATTGACCCAGAAATGTTCTAAAAATAAAAGTTTATTTTTACATGTTAAATTTCTTTTTCTCTGGAACTGGTTCAGGTTCTTTCTTCTCTTCTTCTACTTTCTTTTCTTTCTTTTCTCTCTTCTTCTTCTTCTCTGGTGGAGTTATGTCAAATTTGGCGCAACCATATTTATGTAAAAGTTCTTTGTCCTTTAATAGCTCATCTATTCTGTTTTCTATTTCATCTTCAAGAACAGCGCATGTGCCTTCTTTGCATTCTAAGAACTTTTGTTGGACTTCATCTTTCCAATCGGCGTCATCTCTGTCAACAAGTCTGTCATTGACAAATTTTAAGACTGCTCTTTGTAATGTTTTATGGTTCTTGTCATATTCCCAGAAACAGAACTTTAGAACAAATTCACCTTTCTTGTTTACACTATGTAAGATTTTATGGTCGACAGATGTTTTAGAGTCAAAAAGCTTGTCTCGAATATAGATAGCGAAATCGCTAGACATTTTCAAAAAGATAAAAATTTTAATTTTTCTAAAAATATGTTAGAAAAAAAGTTTGCTGACATTGACAAGAAATTTGAGAATGTTTTAAATAAGAACAAGAGGAAGTTAGAAAATGCTCAGATAAAGCCTATACATGAAAAGTTCTTATTTGCTCAGAATGGTATAACAGGTCTAATTGCACCACCTGGGTCGGGTAAGACTTTCACTTATCTTAAAATGGCTGCACAGCAACAAGAACTAGATGAGAAGAACCCATTCTATGAGTTAGTTGTTATTTGTAGTACTTCTGGTCAATTTGACCAAACCGTCAATTCGTTCAAAGATATTATAAAGAAGTCTAAGTTAGTATGTATAAAGGATACTGAGTTGTTAGATTGGATAAAGAAGTACCAAAGAAGAGTTTTGAAGTACAATGCTATAAATGAGTATATAAATTCTAAGTTTAAAGACCCAAATGAGGAAATGCAGAGAATATTAGAGAAGAAACACTTCAGAAACAAACAGAAAGAGATAGAATACATTTCGAAGAAATTGCAATCTTACGATTGGAAGACTTACCCTCATAGATGTCTTCTTATCTTAGATGACTTTGCTTCTCATCCTTTGTTAAAGAACAGAGAACAAGATATGTGTCGAATTCTTAAGAAGCTCAGACACTTTAACATCTCAGTCGTAATATGTGTACAGACAGCAAAGAGTTTAAGTAAGGATGTTAAAAGAATACTTACTGACATTATACTTTTCCCCGGATTGTCCGAAGACGATTTCATGGAACTTATGAAAGAGTCCATGGCAGGTAAGTTTGACAGACATGAACTATGGGAGAAGTACAAAGTCATACAAGACCCTCATACTTCTTTCAGAATTCATATCTACGCAAACAAAGTTCAAATTGTAAAAAGTCAAGCTTGAAAAATAAAGAGTTTAGTCTTAGTAAGTCTGTTGTGGTGCTGGGGCTGTCGGTTCTTCTGGCTTTGGAAGGCATTCAGGAAGAGGAACGTCAGTCATCCGTTTGTGTCCTGTCGGAAGGAAGAGTTCTTCCAGTTGTCAAGAAATTTTTTTCCTGTCGGAAGAAAAAACTTTTTCTGAAGTTCGACCAAAAAGTTCTCAATTTTCGAAAATTTGAATGGTTTACGGACGAACAACAGGAAATTTTTTTCCAGTTGTCAGGAAATTTTTTTCCTGTCTGATGGAAAAACTTTTTCTGTCGGATGCAAGAGTTCTTTCTGTCGGATGCAAGAGTTCTTCCTGTTGTCGGGAAAATATTTTTCTGTTGGAAGGAAGGACTCGGAATGTTGGAAGGAAGGACTCGGAATGTCGGATGGAAGGACTCGGAATGTCGGATGGAAGGACTCGGAATGTCGGATGGAAGGACTCGGAATGCCAGAAGGATTTGACAAGACAATTTACCTTATAGAGCTACCTGAGCCATCTGAAGTCAAGCTTGAAAAATAAATGGCTCATCTACCCTACTTGTTTGAAGTTGTCAAAATACTCTGTTATTTTTTCTTTCAGTAGCGGTAAGTCTTCTTTGAATGTAAGAATTGTACAACCTTTCATATCATAGTGTGTTTGAGGTAACGTATCTTGAACTATTTGTTTCACATCTTCATTTGGGGTCATTGAAATCGGTAAGTTTTCGCGATAGAACCAATTTCTGTCAGATTTGTAAATCTTAGCAAGGTCGTAAAAGCTTTTGTTGTTTCTTCTGACTAAATGCAACATAACCATATCTTTATCTTCTTCATTTTCCATCTCTTCAGTATAAATCATATACTTATAGTTCTTTTCCTTTCCTTTTGGTACCGAACGTGGTATTCTTTTCTGAATGCTTTTGTCTTTTGCTTCAAGCTTGTTCTCTAGCTCTTCACGTTCTTGTCTATGAAGTTCATCTAACATCATGAAAATATAACAAGCATAGCGAGGCGAAGCCCACATTGCAACAGCATTTACAAGAAGTCTATGTACATACCAACCTCTCAAACCATTTGGCAAATTTTGACGATTTTCGTACGGAATCTCGACCCGCGGAATTCCGCGGGTCGCAAACATATGAGGAAATTCTTCTAAAAGTTCTTTTGTCTGTTGGTTTTCAAACCAATGATGTGCTTGCTTTGTAGAACGAAGAGCATTCAAAATACTTTGCATTTGGTACATGTCATCTTTGACCGAACGAATGAGACGGAGTTGTTTGTTATACTGTATGTACTCGTATTCTTCACTTATAGCTTCATGAACGATAGCAGTTGTTGTGTTCTCTGTTGTTGACATATCTGTCTTTACATACAAAATAAAAAAATAAATAAAAATAAAACTAACTTTATTTTCTATCTTTCACAAAAGACCAAAAATAAACGCTTTACATGTATTTTTCAGTAACTTCGTCAAATAATTTTATAGCTTTATCTATCTCATCTACTTCAAACGTTTCTTTACCTTTTATGGGAGCACCATACATTTTCTCAAACTTTTCAAGTAGTTCTGTTTCTGCAGCTCTCATATCATTAACAAACACAACCTTGACTCTATTGACTGTACTGTCATATCTTAGAGTTATATTATATGTTCTTCCTATCTTATATCTCTTTGTGTTGAAGTCCTTCGGTTTCTGAACGATGTAAAGTAAGCCTTCACTGCAACGTTCCGTATCGAATGAACCATATGTTATGAAGTTATATCCAACAACTGGGTCTAACCATAACAAAACTATTGGTATAAGACTTTTGTCTATAAGATATGCTGTAGTTCCATAGAATCTTACCGATATCATAAGCTCAGGATTTCTTGTCAAAATTTTCTGAGTAGAAGCATTTCTAACCCAGTCGTGTGCTTTCTTTCCTTCAGATAGTGTTAAAATGTCTGACAAAGAATATTTTTTGTATTTCTTTGAGTATCTTACGTTTAAATCACCTATTCTAACCACTTTGGTCTCATTGTCTATCTTTTTAACTGTTTCAAACTCAGTGCTTGTCATTTTCCTGTTCTTACATACAAAATAAAAAAAAATATTTTAAAAAAACTAGCGTTATTTTTTTATTTTTTCTATCTTGTATCTTAAGGAAATTCATGAAATTTGGTCATTTTTTCACGATTTTCATGAGTTTTAGGCGACCAGGTTTTTTTCCCTACTCGCAATTTTTTACGATTTTCGTACGGAATCTCTATCCTCGGTTTTTCGAGGGTAGCAAACATATGAGGAAATTCATGAAATTTGGTCATTTTTTCAGCAAAAATGAGTTTTGGTGTGCCTATGTGCCTATGTGCCTCGGTCAAATGAACTTCTCTTAAAATTACTGACAACATGACATTTTGACAACAACACAGGAAATAGATTTCATCGTATATGTTTTGTCAAACATGAGCGTAAATCAGACAAAAATGAGTTTTGGTTGAAAAAACAGGTGGAGCCAAAAATGGCTCGACCTCAAAACAAGCATTTTGTGAAGAATATACCAACCCGCGGAATTCCGGCGGTTGCTTTTTTTATACAAAATTCAAGAGTTTTGCGTGTTTTCTACGATGTTGTCAAAATGTCATGTTGTCAAGATTTCTTCGTCAATGAGTGTAAATGACCCAAAAATAATGTTTAGGTGAAGAGGTGACATCTCACCCGTTTTCTCACCCGTTTTCTCACCTCAGTTATTTTATAAGCGTTTTACATGAATTGTACGATGTATATTTGAAATCCTAAACAATTTCGTAGCTTCTATTTCTTCTTTTAGTATGTCAAATGTTTTAACGATACCGAAAGTTTCTTTATACTTCTTCTTGACATCAGATAGAAGGAAATCGTCTGCTGTTGGATAGTTTTTGTTCAGAAATTCTAACATGTCCATTTTATTTTCTGCTGGCTTTTCTGCTTCTTTCTTTAAATCTGCATAGTCGTTTCTCATTCTTTCTATCTCTTTGACGGAGTAGTTATATTTCCTCATTGCTGCTTTACATTTTGAACATTGCGGGTTCATTTTTGCATTGTACATTGAAACCTTACCTGCAAGTACGACTAAGGCGTCAATGGTTTTCTTTAAATCTGAAGCAGTTGGTCTTATCTGTTCGTTCCATATTTTACCCCTTCTGTCTTTATCTCTTATCTGCCATACACATTCAGCAACTAACGAAACAAAGTTGTCGTAGGTCTTAAACTCCCCAGATTTATATATGTCAGAGATGTTCTTATATACCATATCGCAGTCTTTGTCCATGACTTTGTGGTTGCAATGAAAACCAAGGAATTCATAATTTACCTTTCGTATGAACTTCTTTATTTCTACCGAGTCAGTTGGTTTCACTTCAATTTCGTCGAATTCAGGAATAGTTAGTTTTTGTTGTTGGATTTCAGGTAGTTTAGGTAGATGGTCAATAATATCCTGCATTTCATAAAGATACTGTTCATTTCTTCATCTTTCGCACTACAGTCTAAATTACTTGTTAACAGTTCTTGCTTTATCTTCTGGATTTCTGTTTCGAAAGTATATGAAGAAGGAATGAAGCTTTTCATTTCTACTAACATTGACGTAGGATTCATGACTAACGAGTTTGGTGAAGTTGTTGCTAACATGTTCTTACAATAAAAATAAAAAAAAATATTTTATAAAAAACTAAAATATATTTTTTATCTTAAGGAAATTCATGAAAATCCAACGGGTGAGAAAACAGGTGAGAAAACGGGTGACATCTCACCTCTTCACCTAAAATATATTTTTGTCGAAAAAAATGGTTCATTTACTCACAATATTTTTGTACAAAACAACCCCAAGCTTTTAACCTCTCTTCTGCAGCTTCTAATGCTATCTTAGCGAGTTCATATTCTCTAAATTCTCTCTTTAAATCTTCTTGTTCCCATTGGTCTAGTTCGTATGGCGAGTCTCTATAACCAGAACATATCTCACGTTCATGTTCTATTTGTTTTTCATGCATTTTTCTAACTTCTTCTTCGAACAAAGGTTTTGCATTCTCTACTGTATCTTCAAGTTCTTCTTCATCTAATTTCTCATGAACTTTCTTGTCTATGGAGTCCATAATTTTTCCAACTGCTATGCAATATTTTGGAGAAGCCCACATTGCTATATAGTTTACAAGTCTTGGGTCTACATACATTCCTCTAACCTGTTTGATTTCATCAGGAATTCCTGCATGAATTTTGTATAAAAAGCAACCCGCTGTTTTCCGCGGGTTGGTATATTCTTCACAAAATGCCTCAAAATACTCTTCCCAGGACTTATTTTCCAACAACCTTCTAAAGTCCTTCCTAAACTGCTGACACATATTTGTTGCATTTATATAACCATCCTTGTCTCTACGTAAGACTTCAATACCGTTGTAAGTGCCTTTTGTGAATGTTTCGCCATTAGATTTGTTCGTGAACGTTTTTGCTTCGACTGACATTTCTGTTCTTACAATAAAAATAAAAAATATTTTTTGGTGGGACGTCGGACATTCGTTTGTGGCTTAACCGTCGGACCACAACGATAAAAATCTCGACAAAACATATACGATGAAGTCTCAACAAAACATTTACGATGAAGTCTTAACAAAAAATATACGATGAAATCTATTTCCTGTGTTGTTGTCAAAATGTCATGTTGTCACACTTTTTCAAAAAGATGTTAGTTGACCGAGTGACCGAGTGACCGAGTGACCTGGTCGCCTAAAATATATTTTTTTCTATCTTAAGGAAATTCATGAAAATTCACCTGTTGAATTTTGTATAAAAAGCAACCCGCTGTTTTCCGCGGGTTGGTATATTCTTCACAAAATGCTTGTTTTGAGGTCGAGCCACTTTTGGCTCCACCTCTTTTTTCAACCAAAAACTCATTTTTGTCGAATTCAGCACAAAATTCATGAAAATTCAACGGGTGAGAAAACAGGTGAGAAAACAGGTGAGAAAACAGGTGACATCTCACCTCTTCACCTAAACATTATTTTTCAATACTTTTTCAGCACTTTTCCGTAGTTGTATATGAAAGACAATTCGAGATAAAAGTCATAGTACAATGGAATAATATGTTGCACACCATTTGTTGTGAACCAAACTTGAAAGTCAGAGAAACTGTTACTAGGTGGTTCGTAGAATTTAGAAGCAAAGTCATAAAAGTCCTTACCAATACATAGAAAACTATTGTTGCTTGAACTGAAACTTGCATGACACATAACATTTTGAGGGTCAAACACGTTTCTATAAACTGTCAAATCTGCTGGTGGAAGTATAAATTGAAATGGACCATCTGGTGGTAATGGTTCGTTCTGGTTTAGTAACCGAAGAAATTGTGCCCAAGAACGTTTGTCTACTTCCCAAAATAAAAACTCTGTATCTCTTGGAGGGTTAATTTCAATCTTTTGAAATGAAACGGTGGAGTTCATCTTGTCATATTCTAGTTTCAGATAGTATGTTCCATTTAGTAAAGAGTCGTATTTTTCTTGAAATTCCCAATAATATTTGTTCATTTGAGTTTGAAAGTCATTTAGAGTTTTTTCAAGACTTTCGTCTGAACGAATTGTAAAGATTCTCATTTCGTCAAATTTGTCTATTATACCATCAGGACCTTTATACTGCCCATGAAAATATACTGCGAACATAAATGCGTTAGTTCTATTTGAAAACAAAACTCTTCTAAATCCTATTGCCTTTGCATCTGAAGGACTTTGAAGCCAACGAATTGGATAGTCAAACCTGTATGCTCGGGATGAAATTTCTTCATCTGATATATTCCTACCAGCATTTGTAAAGATATAGTCTAATGGTTTTGTATCTGCTACTTTTGTTCTTTGTTTTTCAACCTGAAGCATTTAATATATGTAAAAATATATTGTTTTAAAAAACGTTTTTATTTCATGCAATGTTTTATTTCTGTGCCGTCTTCAAGTATGCCCCAGTACTTACGCTTGGAGAGGACATGAACTTCGGTGAAAATTTTGTCCAATTTGAATTGACCCATCTTTTCACCGACCATTCCCATTTCAATGAGTTTGTTGTATCCTTCTTCGTTCGTCATGAGTGCGTCAATGTTCTCATAGTAAACCTTCACTTTGGATTTGACTTCGGAGAAGAATTTGTTGTAGTTGTCAAGGACTGCCTTTGCGAACTGAGGGTAAGACCAATGTTCGACAATAGGTTTTAATGTGGTTACTAAGCCACTTTGACCTTGAGTGAATTCGTACTTCAAAACAAAAGGAGAAAACCTTTCAACAAAGTTGTCGACCTTCTCATAATGTTTACTCTTCATCTCTTGAGGTTTCTTAATGGAATATCCCCATGTCGAATTCATAAGCAATTTGAGTGTCATTGCAAGTTTGGGTTTGAAGCTTTCCTAATATCATACAGTTGTTGTATGACTTTTCCAACTGTATAGTTCCTTCCCGGGAACTCACCATCTTCGTTTGGAATTCCAGTCGGAATATATTGGACAAACCTCATGTATGCAGCGTTAAGGTCGACATAGTATATCTTTTCATCTGAGTCGAACTTGTCGCAACCAATTGGTCCAGTTTGTGGAAATTCAAGTGAGTCTCTATCTTTCTGAGAAACTTCTCCTGTTATCTCATAAACATCGTCGAAGCAACCTGTTTCATATAAAACCTTCTGACCTAACTCAGATGCTCTCCAATACAATTTGACGTCAAATGGATGTCTCAATGGAAGTTTGTTTATAGCATTTGAAGTTCTTGCAACCTCATTGGAAGTTCTTCTGGTTCAGGTTGGTATCCGAACATACCAACCCCTTGTGGAATTGTGTACTTCTTTTGTACTAGAACTTTGTCTGGAACAACTTTTGGTCTTGCTAACAATGAAAAGTTTGTTTCGTCTTTTGGTACAAAAGTTTCTGTCAGCTTGTCATCTGGAATTGGTTCCAACAAACCTTTCTCGAAAAGAATGTTAACAGCTCTGACAATGTTGCACTTGCCTTTTCCGAACAATGGGTTTGTAAGACTTTCGTTCAACATGAAGTGGTTGTGGACAATTACAATCTTCAACCATGGTAAGTCTTTGTCAACAACATATCGTCATGTGAAGAACCTTTAGCTGTAGGTATGTTGACTCGGATATTGACATTTGCCAACGGTGCAATTTTTGCCAATTGACCTCTGAGAATGTACCTTGTCTTCACACATGACTCAAGATACTTCATCTTCTCTTCTGTAACAAGACCAGAGTTCCTGAGACATGTAAGAATACAAGGTTCATTGACAATTGTTTCAATTGAATTGTAAATTCCATACCTGTCAAGTCAATGTCAGACTTATTTATGAACGGGAAGTATCCAGCATGTTGTCTGACTGCTTGAGGGTTAGGTTGGTACCATTCGAACTTGACACTTGCAATTCCTTCAATTGCATTCAAAATATCTGAGTCGGAGTCAAACATTTGTTCTCTCTTTGTAGTCTTGAAAGCGTCAAGAAGTTTTGCAGCTGTTGTGACATTGCCATTTGCATAGTAAATGTGACCATCCAAATCTGTTATGGTCAATCTGAGATTGTATCCTTTCTTATTTCCGTCTTGAATTGCAGCAAGTACTCCCATGAAGCCTTCTTTGTTCTTTCCTTCGTCAAAGTTTACTGTAAAGGTTCGACCAGATGTAATTTGACTTCTAACTTCACGATACTTTTCATATGCATATCTTGTTCTTTCCATGGAGCATGACCATCCTCTGCACTACCTTTTTTCCTTCTCAAAGATGCAATTGTTCGTCATGTTTCCAGTAGAATCTGGCAAAGCCGTCGTGTCCTTCAACTTGAGGCTCAGTAACATCGAAAGGCATGTCCATAAGACGCTCTTCCTCTAACCTTTCCAGTCTGTTTGGATAATTTGCACGTGCTGTTTCCAAATCCATTTCGTAGCGAAGACCAGCCAGTTTGTCATAGACTTTTATGGTCTTCCCTTCCTATATTTAAAATTCTTCGAAACTCTCCAACCATATCTTTGCAACTCTGCTTTTATTCTAGCAGACTTTCTATCCATTCTATACGGGGGCATTTTTATAAAAATAAAAAAATGTTTTTTTCTTTACTTAACATAACCGCCTGCTGCCATAAGTCTTTGACGCCAACCCATACCAGCTAATGAAGGTTGGCTTGTTTTAGTAGTTTCCAAACTAAACTTTGGTTTTGGTTTATCTTCAGTTTTTGGCTCACCTTCTTCTATTGGTTTTTCGTCACTTTTTGGTTCCTCTGACTTTACCTCACTTGCAGTATGGTTGTGTCGTTAGTATCTTCGTAAAATATCATATGCCATCTTTTTGTTTTCCTTTCAACTTTTTGTGTTTGTTGTAAAGTTTAGAATATTTCGACTCTAAGTCAATGAGATGTTCTATAATGAACTGTTGTCAGTGAAGTAAACTTTTCCATCTGTTGTCTCGAAAGCTCCTTCAGACTTCAATATTTTATTTGTGAGAGTCTGTTTCTTTTTTGAGATACTAGCCGTTCCATTTCTATGAAAAAGTGACTTTATAGTTAGGGTTTGTATTTCCAGACCTGGCACTTTCTATTATTGAATTTTTCTCTTCATCTGTAAGTTCTTTGACAGGTTTTGACAATGGTTCTGAACTTTTTGTTTGTGGTGTCAAATCTACGTTTCAACTTCTCTCGGTCATTTCATCTCAGTAAAAAATTTTAGTTTGGTTTGTTTTCAACTGGTTGTTTAGGTTTTTTAAGTCGGTCTAAAACTTCCTGAGGTATAGGGAGGACTTGACAAACACGTGTGTGTAACTGCTGGAAGCCGACAAATCCATCTTGAGCCCATTTGTCTCAATGCTGTATTGTTCATTTCATCTCAGTAAAAAACTTTACATTCCCCACGTTTGAGGCGGTTGAGGTTGGTTATTGTTTACCCATTGTTGTGCATGGTTATATCCTCTGTTAAAGAATCTTTCACCTTGGTCCATATAGTGTCCTGCTTGGTTATAGTAGTCATTTGCTTTGTTATAATAGTTTCCTGCTTGTCTTCCTACATTGTCCATCCATCCTTGAACTTTTCTCTTGTTTCAGGATTTGGAATAAGATTTGTTGCATCTCGTGCTACATCC